GACACTTTGTACTGCAACATCATTCCTTGAAGCTCTTCCATAATCTCTTCACTGACAAAATTCAGAAGCAGAAGCCCAATAATTGTTAAACAACAAAAGCTTTAAGCACTGGAAGAAAGATGTGACCAGCCTGACATGCTGCACAGAACCTTCCAGAGCTCTGGGCTGCAGATTTAAAAACCTAAGGAAAAGCAGACACTTAACTAGCAATCAAATTACTCTTTTTTTCTTGTCTTCAATGCTGTTATCCAAAACTAGCTCTGGCTTGTCAAAAAGGGAGGAGGAGCAGAAACAGGATGTGAAATTGAGGTTATTCTGATACAAAATTACAAACGTGGGGAAAGGGTGGAAGTGAGAGAAGGACAACATTTGTTGAGTCTCCTTCTGCAGTCCAACACAGGGCAGGCTCCCAGCTGCACTAACAAGCGAGAATGTGCCGGCCTTTGATCAGCACGGAGGGAAAAGGAAAGATTACATTTACAAACACAAAATGTGAAGCGATTCAGCCAACAGGTCCAAAACCAAACACAAATGTGGTTCTAGAACAAACTCACAATTGCACAGACAAAAAAAAAAAGCTAACTGAAAAGAAATGAACATGAATTCACTTGCAGAAAGATAACTTATCTTAAAATTGCAGTTTCGAGGAACTTGTTGTATTATGATTACAAGAACTAAAGCTAGAAAATAAAATACAGACTTGCTTCTACCAACAGCAATCCTTCCCTGAGGTCCTACAAGGGAATGGGAAAACCTCCACAGGTGACAGAAAAGGGCATCTCCTTCTGTATAAGGGATATCTGTACACACAGCACGAGGAACTTTCTGGAAGAGATATGAAAATATAGCTAGAAGGAAGATCACAGGAACAGCAAATTGCCATAGCTGAATTACTGGAGCTACTCCATACTGTCCACAAGAATGCCCATTCATAATCACCTCCTCCAGTCTGCATGTATGGAAAATGCAATTAAGTGTTCATCTTCTAATCTTGCTTTCAAATTATCTATATTAAGTTTTCACACATCACTACAAAAATGGATATTTCAGATACAGCAGCTCAGGAATACAGAATACTTTTTTAAAATAAAGTTTCACCGCTTTGCAATATGCAGTCACACCTAATTCAGACTAACTGGATGACAATACTTGAGGTGTTTTCTGGGACTTCGCACAAAAGTAAGGTTAGCCATCTTCATTCAGTACAGGCTGTTGTGATTAGTCATGAATCTCAACCAGCTGCCAACTATCTCAGGTGTTTTAGATTCTCCTTCCATAAATCTTGCAATAAAAAGCTCCCTGTAGGAAACACATGCTCACCCTTATTTCATTTCTTAACACACCAAGTTTCCAGCAGCCTTCCCTTCCTGAGCTCTGCTTCCTGCTTTTCTGTGCACGCCCACTGCTGGCCAACCTTCCTTCCTCTCCCATGTTCTGACACCTGCATGGCTGCTCCGTCCCACTCACAGTGCTGCAACTCGTTTTGTACCCCCACACACCTGGTTGGAGACGCTGGTACCTATTCTGTGTATAGAGGCACTGCACATCTTGATAAGGGATTACTAAGCCTAAAGACACATGCTGCACAAAAAACGTACACAGAGGAACTGCTGCTAAATAGGTGATATTTAGGGTTATTTCATTTCCTCCAGAGTGATGGTTTAATGTGTCTTAAACCCACTGCATTCTCCTGCTAGTTTATAAATAGGGGGATCATCTCAGTACCTTCATCACTCGCAGGACATTCAGTCAGTGTTGGTACAACTATGGAGGAGAGGAGCAGACCTCTCAGTTGTGTAACAGCTCTGTAGCCTGACAGCCTGCAAACAGGAGAAGCTGAAGGACCTTTATGCAAGATTCTGAGCAAGAGTAAGACTTAGCAGTTTACTTTCCAAAGTAAACAACAGAGACTGCAAAGCAATTAAAGCAAAAACATTGTTCTACAGAAATTGCTGTTGGGGGAAAAAAAATAAGAATCAATAAAATAAGCTGCTAGAAGCACACCAAATTTGCCCTCACATTTTATAAGCTGATGGCAACAAGCTTCAGAGCACCCCTTTGCTTACAAGGGGCTGAACTAATGCTGCCTGCAGACACCAACAGCAGCCATTCTCCTGCTGAACCACGACTCACCGCCCACCCATCCCAGACGGCCCAGCAGCTCCCACTGCAAGATGCTGCATCGACCTCTCCCTTACATGAAGTATACAAGACTGATATTTCAGTAACCCACACGTTTTAGTGCAGACCTTGTTACTGATTTTGACAGAATCCTTGTAATGCAGAAGACTTACATGAATATACAAAACGCTGGCAAGAACGAATTGAAATATCACTTCACACAACAGATGTCACCACAATTGTTAATGTGGTTCAGTGATGAACGATCTGAGGGTACATATTGACGTTTCTCAAAGTTTTGGCACCGAAGCCCTACATTAATCTCTACATATTTTCAGTTTTTAAATATGGGCCCTGAAAAATACCCGAGCTGGCTGTTAGAATATCCTTCTCCCAGCCCTCCAGAAGACATGAGAACACTCACTCTAACACTAAGGACATGCTTTGGCTGCCTGCACAGAACACCATTCTCCATCCACTGACTGCAAAAAATAAAGTCAGGATTTTCTATCATGGTGTTCCAACTTAGTAAGACATTTAAAGCAGCCTGCAACAGACACTGCATAGTCTAATTCATTCATTTGCAGGCTTAATTCTTTTATTATTTTTTCCTCCACTTTCCAGAAAGTCCTCCTTTTTAAATCTCTCATCCTGACAAGTAAATAAAGTGTCTCATTATATTCTAACAGTGCTGCAGACAGATACAGGAGTGCATTTAAGCGCTCCATTTAAGGCTGGTTAAAGCCCCATGGTTTGCTATCCCAAAAGAGGGCACTCCAAACTCCAAGTCTGAACCAAGCGCAGGTACATTTTCCCAGAGCAGGATAAGGAACAGGGAAGAAACTCTCCAGAGGAACAGAGTGGAACCAGCCATTCTAGGAACATCCTCAACACTGTGCATCACCGTTTGAAGCTTTACATTACAAAGTTAATTATACACGCACGGGTAATACTTTTCTCTATAACTTGCCTGTCTGAAACAAGTTTTTGGTAGAACACAAAGAAAATCATGAAAAAGACTGCGCTAAGATCCATGTGCAATACATCTGAAACTGCTTCCAAGACAGAACTGCTTCAATCCAGGCCGAACACAGTTGCACAATCTTCGAAAGTTCGGAGGCAGCACGACAGGAAATTCGTGATGCCAACTCTTCAGTAATTGGTTGTGAAAACAAACATTGGAAGCATTACGTACACAACAGACCATGGGGAGGGGGAGAACAGAAGAGGAAAGGGCTGCATGCACCACGAAGGGCCGGCCTGAATACAACAGACATGGAGCAAATCCACTTCCTATTGCACCAAGGGAGTTACGTAACCACGGCAGCTAAAGGAGTATTTATCAGCTGGGGCACTGAGCCCTTTCTTTCACCAGAAGTCCTTCAGTTATTAAAAAACAAAACAGAAGATATATTGGTTACCCTTGGCACTATAATTGGTTGGGCTCTGTCTTTTATGACATACAAGCACTTACATACTTGGGACACTACAGTTTTAAGAAATGTGTATTATCTCAGCAGAGCTTCCTGAGAGCAGAACAGAAGAGAACTTTCTTAAAACTGCATCGCATGAAAACAGCTCCTTTTTCTACTGATAGAGGTCAGCACGCATTGCTCCTTAAAATATAAATGACAGTCATGATATAAATTTGTATGTTACGTTAATGAAAAAAATAGGCACGCCTGCTCCAAGACAGCAGCAGCACAGATGTACAGTCATCGCACACCCGTGTGAGAACTCCGATCGCACTGACAGAGCAAAAACCAGAACGGTCAGCAGCCTGCGCTGCTTTATTCACCTCTGCTGTGTGACCGCTTGAATCGGAACGTCAGTGCGATCCGGACACAACCTCGTCTTTAAGATTAAACGATGTCAGCAGCCCAGCTGATCTGCATTTCACGATCCGATATATTTTGCAGAGAAATTACAAACGCGTTGCTATGAGGCAAGCATTAAAAACCGAGCCCGACTCCGAGCTCTCCTCATTCCTGCACGCCGACCCCAGACTTCGCTCCTGCAGGCAGCGCTCGCCCTGCACCGTGCAGAGCCGCGCTGCCGCCGCTAAAATGGTTCTCGCAGCGGCTGCCAGGGGACGCAGCAGCCCTCCGCAGCTCCCGGCTCACGTCCCGTCCTCCGGGTCCAGAAGGAAACCGGGACAGCAGTAGAGCCGCGCGGAGCTCGGGGCCTCGCCAGCCCGCATCCTCTCCGCCCCCACCTCCCAGCTGCGAGAAGGCACTGCGAAATATGCCCAAATGAGATCACGCTGGGGGCTGGGACGCGATTATCTTCCCCTGCAAAAATGTCCCGGTGCCACCGGCCGTGCTGCAACGCCCGGCGCTGCGGGGAGCGGCGCGGAGCGGCGCCCAGGGCAGAACCCGGCCCGGAGCCGCCACTCACCAGACGGAGCCGTAGGCCCCGGACCCGACCGGGGAGAGGTTTTGGTAGCGCTCGGGCACCTCCCACACCGTCTTGTTGAGCTCCTGGCGGTAAAACTTGGGCCGCTCCTGAGACATCTCGGCTGCGGAGCCCACCCCGCCCGGCCCGGCGGGAGGGGGCGGCTGCGCCCGCGGCTGCGGCGGCACCTCCAGCAGCAGCGCAGCTCCCGCCTGCCTTCCTGCCCGCTTCCTTCTCCCCGCCTCGCTCCTCCCACGCCGCCCCTTCACACCGCCGTCTCCTAACACCGACCGTTGGCCGCCGCCCCGCCCGCGCCCTCCCCGCCTCACGCCGCCCGGGGCCGAGCCTCGCGCGGGGCGGTTGCTCCTTCGCCCTCCCCTCCTCTCAGCCGCCCTCACTCCGCCGCCTCCCCTCCCCGCACACACGCCTCGCCCTCTCCCTCCTCCTCCGCGCTGCGAGGGGCGGACCGGCCCCGGGAGGTGAGGGAGGGGCCGGCCGATAGGGAGGGCCGGAGGGAGGCACTCCGCCGCAGGGAGGACGGGACAGACGAGGCCGCGACCCGCCCCCAGCGGCGCAGCTCGGGCTGGGCCCGGCCCGGCCGCACGGCCTCCCCGCTCCCACTGAGGCCCTCTGCTTCGGTCGGCCGCTCTCGCGAGAGTTGAGGCGCCGCGGGCAGAGATGCCCCAATATGGAGGCGATGCGGAGCGGCACGGGGGAGCTCTCGCGAGAGCGGGGGGAGGCGGGCTGCGGACTCGCTGCGTCCCGTGTTACAAAGAGTGCGATGCTGTGAGGTGTTCCTACCCACGCAGGCTAAAATTAAGGCGGCACAGCTTGTTTTCCTGAGGCCTGCTTTTGTCTCCTTGAGGGCGTGCTTTAGGCAAAATATCCATGAGAACGCTAACCTGAGGCAGCAGGCCCACGCTGACCTGCCAGGGCCTTCAGCGAGTCTGAGGTGTTCTGAGGTGCCAGCAGTGCTGCACAACCAGCAGTGCTGCACAACCAGCAGTGCTGCTCCTGTGAGGGTTTACAGGAGTGCTCCATTCCCTCTGGGGGTCTCCAAGCCTGTGGAGGTGCGGGGAGCTGAGCTGATACTGCTGTATCCCTGTATCCCTGTCTGCTTGGACTTCAGTTTGCAAACTTGAGCTTCTTTTTAGCTTGCTTTGTTGTGTTACCTTACCTTGAAGAAAAGTGATTGTGCTCAAACAGCAACTTGTACTGGGCATGCAGTGCTAATGAACAAAATGTCTCTTAAACTCTCTTCTGGAAGACCTTTGTGTATCTCCTTAGTAAAAAGAGGAAGAAACCGTGCCCCATGTGTGTGTTGGTGGGAATGCCTCCGGGGTGCCGGGTCCCTGTTGCTCTGTCAGAAGTGGCATATCAAAACACCAGACCTGTACAAACAGATCCTGACAATTCAGGAAACAAAAAACGAGGAGAAAACTTTTTTTTTCTTTTTTTTTTTTCTGCCCAGGTTTTGGTACTTACATTGCATTTTGACTGGACTTTCTGCTCGCTTACTGCCTTTTCATGCTTCTCATTTTCCTTATTTTTTTTTTCTGTCAATAGCTAAAAGCTACCTTTCCATATGGCACAGCCTTTTTCCTATGTTGTCTCTGTACTTTCAGTTGATAACTCTGGATTTGAATTTTTTTTCCTGCCTCAGCTGTCAGTATGAGAACTTGGGTTTACATCTGCTCTTTCACTGGACTTCTTACTCAGTATTCACTTTGGGAACTTACATCTTACCTAATCCGAGCAGTAGTGATTGAATTCAGATCTTCCTGATATTTTAATGCCGAGGAATGTGAGTCAAAATTTTGGGGCATTTAAAAACCTGAATGATATCAGATACCAATTTTTTACTGCGAACTATGGCATTGTATGGCCTCTTATTTAGATGATCTCTGTATAATTCAATCTAAGCATTTTTTCTTCCAGCACTGGAAACAAGGAGAGTTCAAACTGTTTCTCAGTTGTGATAAGTTTATGGAGAGGCACTGTATTTTCTTCCTTTAACACAGACCTGCTTTGGGGATCCCATAATGGAGAGCATCCAAGCTGGTCTTTCCTATAGAGTAGAATCAAGACAAATTCCAGAAGGACTCAGTGTTCTGGCAGTCAGTTTGCTTGATCCTAACAGCAGCATCCTTCCAAGGATTTTAGTCTCCAGAGCCTTGCTTATCCTTGCTGTAGTTGTTGGCTTCACAGGAGTTATGCTGGGATGGACAGATGTCATATGCTTGTTATTGGTTTTGGTTTTAATAGGTATTTCAGTCACCTTGTCTGTTTCTTCCAGTCTCACTGCCAAGAATGAGAGGTTTAATTGTCATCTCCAGTATTTGATATTCCTCATCAAAAAGAAAATATGGAACTAGACAATGATACAGTCCATACCAGGAGGCAACCGGCATTTTACAGAGTCCAAAGAGAAATGCAGACTGAGGAACACATACAAGCATTCCTGGAAAGAAACCTACCTTCCACCTTTGGTGGAGAGCCACAAATCCCTGAAAAGAAGACACGGCTACGTTGCAGGTGAGCTGTATGCTAGGAATTTGACAGGTGTAAAAAAAAATAATAAAATGAGGCTCTTCTAGCCCAAATCTGGAAAGATGCTAATGTCTTCCTGCAGCTTGTAATTAAAATGCTGAATTGTATTGATTGATAACTGTAGCAGAACAGCCAGCTGGAGAAACTTGCAGTGAAGTATGCAAGAACAGCACCCCCCCTATCCCCCAGTTTAGCAATCTGTAGGAGTGTTTGTTCACTTCAGGACTATGATAGTGTGAAGGATATATACATTGTAAGGAGAAGTTGTTAATATTTGCAGCCCCTCCAGTGCTTCCCTCAGCCCAGCTGTCAGACAAAGCTTTCACTTGCATTTTTTCTGATTTCTGCCTTTTGATACTTGTGTTTCTTAAATTTCAAGAGCTGTTTTCTGTTCCTTCTTAGCTGGGGACATGGAAAGTTACATAATGGTATGGCTGAGATTGGCTGAATTGCTTTTGCGTTATTTTGGAGCTACGTTCCTGCATTCTTTGAGGAGAATGGGTGATGCAAATGGTACTGCCTATACAGTATTAATGTTTCCACAGCCTGATTTTCCCATCTGCCAAAATTTTCTTTTGGGCATTATCCTAGGGACAGAAGCGTATCTTCTGCCAGAGGAGCCCTGCAGGCTCAGTAGAAGGCAGTCTTTGTCGATGAGTTAGGAGAATTCCTGGTGTTCTTCCAGCAAGGCAAATATAATCAAAAATAGGAAGCCCTTTCATCAGCTTCCCTTTTAGTTTTGTTTGAGCATGAATGCTTTTGGTTTTCCAAATGAGTCTCTTTGGATGTGGAGTGGACTGCCCGTGGTTATGGCTGAGTCTACACTACAAAGTCCTCATAAAAAAAAGTAAATAAAAAAATCTCTGATTCATCATTTCTCTAAGCTTTGTTTCAGCATGTATTCTGAAGGTATACTGAAACTCACAGTGTTATTTTGGGACAGTGACTTTGACATGCCTTGAGACTCAAGTCTAGCTATGGGTGAGGTTCCAAAAGGTGTGGTGAACTAATCTAACAGCTTGCTGCTGCCAGATGGGACAGGACACAGAAGGAAAAGCAGCACAGAAGAGCCAGACCTCTCTCTTTTGTGTAACTAGCTCTTACACCATACAGTGTAGCTCAGCAATGAGTGTGACAGCAGCCTAAAACCATGGATCCTGTTTTACTGGCACTGTTGCAAAAGAATTTCCTGGTAATAAGTGAAGGCAAGTGGAGCTAGAGTTTGAGTTACTACTGTGCTTTCTAGTTTTTCATTTCATCTTGAAGGCTCGTTGTTGATTAATTTCTGCAATTGTGAGATCCTTTGGACTGTACAGTAAGGCTTTTTTTCCGGTGCTAAAGAAGATTGGAGTCAGAGGAACAAAATTAACAGAAAGGCTTGAATTGTGTATAATTATGATATGTGATCTAGAGTTAAGGCTGCCACTCACAAATTCCTGATGCAATGAAATAAGTCTTGTGCAGAGATCAAAGGGAGAATTTTGTTTTAAAGTCATGGCTAATATTATTGGAATCTTTATCACTGCACTTGCTGCTTTATCAGAAAATCTTTATGCCCTTCCTCAATTCCCCATTTAAGACTTGTGTCTTTCTTGCTTCCTCATACTCTTTTCTCTGTTTCTTTTCCACTTCCCTATCTTGTGTATTTTCTCTGTTCTCTATTTTGTATTCACTGGTCATCCCGCATGTAATCACCTCAGACAATAAAATGATGGAAAGGGACTGGACTCTGTAATGCTAATTGGGGCTCAGTCTCCCCAGCCACTATTCAGGGTTGCCAGAGGAATTGGGCAGATACTGCATTGTGTATCTTTGGTTTGTGAGTAGAAGATCTCCACTATAGTCAGGGGATTAAAAAAGAGAAGGGGGAGCACAGGGCTTTAGGGCTACTCAGAATTTACCTGCTGGAAATACTGATCCAAAGACATTTAGGCAGAAAAAAGCATGTAGGCCAAGTCCTGCTTGCATTCCCATGTTAAGTGTAATACAGGAACCATTTGACTGCTTTTTTGGAGAAGCAATAGGCTTGTCTTTTTTTTTTTTCCTTCCCCTCCAGATGTAGCAGCTATGTATTTTTCTTCTAGATTAGGATAGGAGGTATCAAAATGCTGTCTCCTGATTTTCTGCAGTATGTTAATGAGGTCAAGTAATTGATGCATTCAGTGCTCTGGCGTTGACAGGGTATCATATGAATGGCATACAAAGTATTCGCGATTCATCTGAAAGGAATGCAAAGGCACAGGGGTGCTTGTATGGGACTCGTGTTATGCACCAGCTCTGCAGAAGGCAAAGCAGGTTCAGAGTATACAGTGCCTTCAGAGATCTGCGAGTAGCAGTGTTGCTTCTATTCCTGCAAAGTATGAGGTCATGCAAAAGGGCTGCAGACATGGTCGTCATGAAGAACTTTACACACAGCTTATCTTATCTGATTCTTTTCAGGTTCTCCTGGGAAAGTTTCAAAAAGATCTTATACAAGAGGTTCCCTATCCTGAATTGGCTTTTTTCCTATCAGTTCAGAGAATGGATCTTGAAGGACCTCCATGCAGGCCTAAATGTTGGGTTGGTTCAGGTTCCTCAAGGTAGGCAGAGAAAAGAAAAAACACTCTTGCTTCCTTTTGTACATCATCCTTTTCATAATGTGTGTGTTATCCTGTTCTTTCAGATGTCATCGAATTATGTGGGAACTTTAATTCACAAATTCCTTAAATCATTAATTTATTAATTTCCATACTTGCAAGAAAACATATTCTATAATCAAATGTTACATGGTGTAATTTTGAGGATAAGATACTGCCTTTTTTCATAAAGTTTCCCTCTAATTTAAGTATATAAATATATACTAACAGCAGCGTTTTCCTGTATTGCAAGAAAAATAGCAATCTTTAAAATCCACTTTGCAAAATCTGTTAGACTTTTGCTTTCTAGGGCTGTTAGGAGTTTGGCTGGCTGGCTTACCTCTACCAACGATCAATGGCTTCCTTTCTGCATTCTGCTGCTCAATGCTGTATGTTGTATTTGGAAGTTCACATCACATCTCAATTGGTGAGTTTTATTCTGCATTGCAAAATGTTTCTACAGGACTTAGAGATTGTGTTCAGTGCTGCTTCAAAAAGCATCTCATGTGCAGGCATTATTTAGGGGAGAATCCAGACTTCCAGATTCTCGATTCATTGTTTCACATCTGCTCCTGAAGGCACAAACTACCACAGCTCCTTTGTCACAGACAGCAGTGCAAAGGGGGCAGCTGGTGCATCATGGAAGTGTCTCCTGCATAAAGTAGAGGGCCAGAGCAAGCTGCTTCCCACTTAGTCCTGGTTTTCTCCAGGGGTTGTGCAGTTCCTCACCATGACTACGCTGATGATGGTTTTACATTCTTAATTTGTTCAGAAACTAGATTATTATATGAGAAGGTCCTTATCATTATCATAAAAGTGGATCTGTGGAGTTCTGGCCTCTTAGATAACTTGGCAGCTCTTTCTCAAACAAGCTGTATTTCTTGGACGTTCTGGCAGTTCATTGTAGTACGTTTGTTTTTGTGCTTTACATTAAAATCTTTTTTCTTTTGTTCATCTGACCAAACAAAGACTTCACTTGTAAAATTGTAGGAGTCTGAAATTTTCAGATGGAACTTTAGAAGCCTTTGGTGCTTATTCAGAAACGGTAAAAATGGATTATATATATGAATGAAAATAAATTGTCTCATACTGCACGATTGATGGTAAGGCATAGAGATGGATGTGTAGTTTTAAGATAAATCCTTGTTGCAGCACCTCATGCAGTTACTTTCTCTCTACTCTGTTCTATTGCTTTCAGGCTCATTCAGCATCCTAAATCTAGTGGTGAAAAATATTCTCAAGTCCCTTGATCTCAACAAAACATTGTCCTTTAACAGTTCACTAGTCAATTTTTCAGACCCTACACTTTTGAAAGGTTACATGGAGACCTTGACACTCGCTGCGTCAGTGACATTTATGACTGGCATAATTCAGGTGAAGATGAATCTATGTTATATCCTTACTGATGTGTCCTTATGTTTATCTTTGTACAAATGTAAGAAGTGAGACTGCTTGTGTGTTCTTACAAGTTCTAAGCTCAGCACACTTGAATACATATGTTGTACAAAATGGAACATGAAGGTCTGCCTCTTCCTCTCATGATGCCTGAAAAATACGGGATAGGTTCAGATTTGTGTGTCCTTGATTAATTTAGCAGTACATGAAGTAAATTGCTTTTGTCTTTTATTGACCAATTGTTTTGTTCTTTTTTTGACCAATTCTCCAACATGTAGACCCTTAGGTAGTCCTGCATAACCGCACACACTTGATTTGATGTGCTCCTATTTTAGTTTGGCAGCATCCTACTTAATTGTGCATAATGAATATAGCTTTTCAAATAACTATCCATCAAGTGCAGCAGTGAAAAGTCATGCTCTTCAAATACGGAAACAAGAAAGGCAGGTTAGGCATAGATAATTATATTGCACCTCACTTCTTGTTTGTTCCGTACAGTTGCTGCTAAGCTGCTTCTGCCTGAAGTCTGTAACAGCATACTTGCCAAAGGCTCTCATTGATGCTTACCTCTCTGCAGCAGCATTGCTTGTCATTGTATCACAGTTCACTTTTATCTTTGACATTGTGCTTGACTTCCATAAGGGCTCTCGAGACATTTTCTGTGTGAGTAAATTCATTATTAGTAAAAAAAATAAATAAATGCTTGCTTCCTGTGGGATAAACAAGAGAACAGTAATGAAAATTGAAGGCAATTTCAATATGTCAGTTGCTAAGGGATATTTCTGCAAGTGTCAGCTGTGGTTTGTCTTTCTGTTGTCTTAAATGATGAACAGAGATTTTTGTGTGACATGCAAGAGGAAAAGGGATTATTTTTAATTACTTACGTAGCTTTATCATTTTCAGCATGTCTGTAATCATTCTGGAACAAAGGTTAGAGAAAGAGGTATGTTTTTCCTCCATGGGTCACTGTGGGCTAATTATTGGGCACATGGTATCTATGACATATCTGACAAAGATGCAGCAGATTCCTAGCTAAAGATAAGTTAAAAATAAGTCTTCCTAATTTTCTTAAGAAAAGACAGACAACTAAAGAGAAGGGTGGTGTAGAGGAGAGAAGAGTGATTGTACTAGATCTGAGTTGCTTGTGGCAGTGTTTCTCAACAGACCATTTAAAATACTGTTTTGCCCTTAGCATCTTTTTTCCCACTGAAGGTACTGTCATAGCAGTAAAGGATAACTTAAAGTGTGAGGGCAACAGGTCTCAATCTTCTTGAATGTAAAAACACTTGCAGTATCTGCCTCTGATCCTCTCTGATAATTCCTTTTCAGAATGTATTCTATTATTTCCTGGCTCTCCCAAAGTCTAATGCCACCAGCATACTGCTATTTTTGCTTAGCATGGCCGTACTCCAAATCAGTAAAACTATCAGGATAACTTATCTACATAGTCCTGTTGCATTTCCCATGGAGCTTCTCTTGGTAAGTGTTCTCAATGCTATTGTGATAACTGAAAAACAGTTCAGGAATTGCCTGTCTGCGATGGCATTCCAGCTCTGAGTGCCATAAGCAACCTTTGTCACTGAGCCTTGAGGTGTCTTTCACCAGTGAACTTCATAAGTTTTTCCCCTGCTACTGTGAAAATAAGGTATCTCCGCTTATAAATAGCCATGGGTACAAATCATAGTGAACTGCTACATGAATAAATAGCAGTGTGTAGAGGTGAAACCACCATGTTCCAGACTGATTTTTTTTTTTTTTTTTTTTAATCTTTATTAAGATGATAGTAGAACTGTGGACTTGAAGGTTCGGAGTTCTGATTCAGTTATGGCTTTTTTTTTTCTGGAATTGTTGGAAGGAGATATTCAATTTTGTTACATTCATAGGCAGGTCTTACTGTAAATTCAGTAATATTTGTTGCTGATGTTTTTCTTTCCTAGAAAATGGAAGAGTTGACTTTTTTTTTTTTATAAAAACTTTTTCTATTGAAATGAAAATTCTGACTTTTGCAGATAATCTAGGAGTCTAAAAGATGACAGCTTCTTTTTCTAAGGAATAGGCTAACCAGAGTCCCACCTTGCTGACGCTAGAGTTGAAGCCATTTGCCACTTATCTAACAGTGGCCTGTGGGACAAACCTTTGACAGAGCACAGTAACACAGACAGCTAATAAGAGAATTGGAATAAGAAAAAAAGTCCACATTTTGCATAGAATTTATCAGATGTCACTACACGGTAGACATTAGCAAAGGGCTAGGAAGTGTTTGTATAATATACTTTAAAAGCCCCACAGAAATACATTACTCCAGAATGCTTTGGTGTTTATACACTGAATAAAATCTGTGCTTAGGTCCTTCAAATTCTCCTGCACGAGTAACTGTCCTTAGATTCACTGTGTGCAGTTCCAGGTGCAAATGCTGTATAATCTGTGGTATTTTGTTTTCTTTCCCAGATCATCACAGCCACCATTATTGCCAATTGTATTCATCTTCATGCTGAATCTAGCAGTGCTGTGGTCAATGTAATTCCTCAGAGGTTAGTTATCCATGCTGTTAATGATGTTATACTTTTGAGACACGAAAGAGATGTTTCAGTCTGTTCTTGAAATCTGACGTAGGCTGATTTTTACCGGGAAGCACAGTTAGAGAAATAACTCTTCAACAGAACTTTGAGATCTCCTCATTTCAGAGTATATGCAGAATTTGAACTACAGTTTTCTTTATTAGATTCAGGTTGGAAGGAATTTGTATTTTTTGTGAGGTGGAAGCAAACTCTTACACATTCAGGACATCTCCCATGGGGTGGTAGGTGATGCCTCTGATGTTGGTCCTGGGTATGGTATAGACTGCACAGAGCCCAGAGCAGGTTTAAACCTTTCTGTTCTCTGATCTTGTAGGTTTCTACCTCCTACGCTGCCAGATTTATCAAACCTGAGCAAGATCATCTTGCATGCTTTCTCCCTTGCTATTGTAAGCGGCTTCCTTCTTGTTTTTATTGGAGAGCAGTATGCTTTGCTTCATAACTACAGCATTTCCAGCAGTCAGGTGAGAACAAAGCTACACATACTTCTTATGCCAAGAAGCAAACTGAATTCAGATTAGTAAAGCCATTAGTTACCTGGTAGTGGTAGAAATGCAAGGATAGAACGAATGATGACAGCTGATTGTTTTGTATCAACTTGTTATTATTCTTTATGGAAGGACAGATGCCATCTATATGTGAAGGCCAAAATATGTCCAATGACCATACTGACCAAGAGGCCTCAGTGTAGCTCCAGGGGTTGGGATGACCTCCCTGTCACCTCATACGTGCTGCTGCAACTGATCCCTGGGGCCACCGCTATCCTGAATCTGTGAGACTTACAATAGCACACAAATATAATAGCTGTAATTGTAAAATGGCCAGAACAGCTTTAGTTCTTGCCTATATGTGTCTGTCAACTCAGTGAATTCTCAGCCTAGGCTGATTGCTCTGAGAGCCTTTTAAGCTAAAGCTGTTAGTTTCCAGTGTGCTAGTGTGCAGTGTGCTTGATAGACTTAAGCAAAACTGGTTTGCAGTACCCTGTTTAACTTGCTGTGATGGCTTTGAGTCTTCATTAGAAAGGAATTAATCCAGTCAGAAAGCTGCCGTGACTTCCTATAGCCTTTGAGGATAAGTACAAAGAGAATGTCTTTTTCATTGAGTTCTTGTCCCAGCTCTATTATACTGTGCACTGAGATTTACTGTGCATTAGCTTGGAAGCTTTGGGGTTCTCTGTGGATTACTTTGTAAACAGGAGTTTTTGGGTCCATGAGATCCTCAACTGTGAAAACTTTGTGCCTTTTGAGAGAAATTTAACATGCGAGTCTTTGGTTTCCAGAAAGTTTTCTGAGCTGAACAGCCAGCAAGTGTGAGCAGATGTACTTCTTTTTAAGCCACTTCTATTTAGGTAAGTCATTAATTTTGGGTTCTCTCTACTTCCTCCTGTTTCTTTTTTACAGGAACTAATAGCTGTCGGGCTTAGCAATATTTGCAGTTCATTTTTCAGAAGCTTTGCTGTCAGCTGTGCTATTTCTGGAACTGTCATTCAAGAGAAGACAGGTGGAAGAACTCAGGTGAGCCAGGCTAAAATCATTCTAGACTGAGTATAGGCTGACATTTCATCCAAGCAGTTTGTGAGAAGTAAAGTTATATTTCCATGCAGCGTGAATTTGTGCTCTCTGTATTATGTACTGTAATTGTAGGATATTACAGGACATGATGTGCATTTAAGGAAGCCAGAATTCTGTGGAGAGAATAAGATGTGTTCATACAATTGTAAACTGTGTTTTAGTGAATATGACCAGAATTGAAAATTGTTTTGCACTTTTTAGTACTGGATGTTATGACCTTAATCTTTTTTTTAATTATTTTTAAAAATTATTTATTTTTAGGAAGATTTTAACATACTTCTTATCTGAATATTTGTACATGCTTCACTGCATCATAGAAGTAACTTGATTTAATAAAACATTTGTGCCTGATATAGGTTGGTTTGTTTAGCAATACGGCTTAGTACATTAGTATAAGAATCAATATATTAGTTTATCAAAAGGAATCCATAAGTGATAGTTCAGTAGTTCTAAAACTTTCAATTTCAACTTTAGTGGGTGAGCAGTCTTGTTTTCCTCAATAATGGGCACATAATAGAATATTTTTATCTTTTGCATCCAGGAGGCACAGGGACATTTTTCTTGGATTCCACATATATTGTTTTAAAAGTGGCTTACTAGGCCCAATAAGCAATGGAAATTTTCCAAATTGGGAAAAAGCCGCTGAAAGTGAGTCAAAGGTCTCAGTGATGAAGCTGATGGTGGAAAGCAGGAAGGAAGTAGGTGGGCACTTGACCACCCTAGATACCACTGAGTGTGCCCAAAGGGACATTAGCATATATTAATACATCCTTAGAAAAGAATGAATATGTATGCAAGTGTACTGCATGTGCATGTCTTAACAGTTTAAATGTAGAACCTGAACTCTGAGAGAGCGCCCTTGTTTGTCAAGTCGCCCGATATGTATTGTGAGGAATAAAGGAATGCTGATTTCTAACACCACATAGGAGTTAGAGTGTTTTCTTCTTGGATTTCAGATGACATTCCTAAGGCTGACTTGCGAGAAAAGTATCTTCTTTTTCAAATTAAACTATCAAATCAAAATCCTGTGTTGTTGTACATAGAATACCCCATTTAGGCCAAATTTGTGTCTACAGAAGCCTTTTGACATGAGCTTTCTAGAGTTCATATTGCCCATTAGAACACACCCATGGACTTTGTCTCCTGGTTGCTTTTTCTATTAGATGGTGTTACAAGGACTATACCTATTTGCTTAGAGAAGACAAGGAATTGGTTCTGGAAGGCCTCTCTAATAAAGTATCTCTGTTCAGATAGCAGCACTGATGGGAGCATCTATAATGCTGGTGATTGCGTTGAAACTAGGACACTTTTTCCAGATGATACCTAATGTAAGTGAACTTGTAATAGTTATGGTAGCAGCCTACTTACTTTTAAAGCATAATATGAAGATTACCCTAATAGCTGGGGTTGTATCTTTCTCTACATTTCACTGTTTCAAGGGATAGACTAAACCAAAACAATGACTTTAAACGCTCCTAAATTTCAGCGTGGTCACGTATTAGGAAATTGATACTGCATCTCTCTCCCATATGTGACTGTTCAGCACAAACTAAGATTCCTTGGCTAGAAGTGAGTTGAAATTTTACTGCCAGGATCTGTGATTTAAATGTTGTATTTCACTTTTGCTTTCTGTCATGGTTTTGTGATTTTTGGTTTTCGGTATTCCACATCATAACATCATGTAGGGCACTGGGAGTTTAACTGCTATTGCTCAAGTTCTGGGTACCTGCCCAGAAGAGAAGAACTACATTCCCCAGGGGGCTTTGCGGTCACAGAGAGGAGATATAACACAAAACCATAACAGTTTCCCATTTTTTGAAGGTTTTACACAACTATATAACACATTCATAAGTTCCTGTCTTGCATCTGTGTGAGTAATTACAGGATAGATGCTTCAAAATCTTTAGTGTAAGGGGGTAAATAAAATATTCAAAATTGAAGGTTAGGTTTAGTATCTCTAGCTTGGTCTTTGAGGTTTGTTTTAAAATTTGAGGTTTGTTTTAAAATTGTATGCACTCCCAAACTGTAAGCATTTTGTTGCTGCAGGTTGCTCTGAATACTCAGTTTTTCACTTCTCTCTTAAAATTTTATCTAGACTTTTTTTTTTTTTTTTTCCTGTAAATTTTCTTAGGGAACTTCTGGCATTACTTCCTGATATTTTTCTGGCTTCTTTGTAAGTTGGGAGAATTACTTACTTTGTAATTAATTACAAAACAAAATTTAATCATCTACTTCCCTTCAGTCTTCTTTTTGTTGCTAAGGTATGCTTTTTGAACAAATGGTGTCAAACAGCTTCCCAAATCTGGTAATGAACTGCCCATGCTAATTGAAACCATTCTTTGATACAGCAATTCAGTTCTGTAGATAGTGTTGTCATTTGTCATGGTGCTGCAGGAGGCACAGGGATTCACTAAAGAGATCCGCAATGGAAACCACACAAAGCATTTCAAGAGAAAGTCCAGTTGCATTGGCAGAAGTAATTGTGAAATCACATAAGATAGGTTGGTTTGCAGATCTGACAACTGCATACTCACTTATAAAAAAAAATATAAATAAGATCTAAATTTCAAGCAGTTTTTTTGATTATCTGTTTTTTAGCATGTTGTGGATGCAATAAATCTCAGATGCAATAAATAACGTGCATTTTTTTCTTATTTGCACAGAGTGTGCTGGCTGCTATTGTAGTATTTAACATGCTACCTTTTCTTGAAAAATTTCTGGACATTCCTACCTTGTGGAGAAAGGATAAGTACCATTTAGTAAGTGGCATAAAAAAAAAAAACAGTAACTGGAATGTGTTTAAAGGGAGAAATACTTTTCTTTGTTCTTTTAGAGTGGGCCAGAATTGTGGAGGTATGTGTATTCCCATTGTATATCTGCAAATGCAGGGCAAAGGAAAGTGGGAAGTCCATATTGTCAGTAACTGCAGCTGAGTTACGTGTTTTGAGGTCCTGCACTTCTTTCCTGTGTTCTTTCTGTGTGGCTGTTTTCAGGACTGGGTGGCCTAAAGGTGCCAGCTAGGCTTTTCAACTATTACCATTTCTATTACCATTTCTAGCTCTTTTTTTTTTTTTTTTTTCCTAAGTCTCTTTAATTTGCAAATACTGGGGCTGAGTTGGAGGTCATTTTATATCTTTTTCTCTCCATCTCTTGATCAAAGGCTATTTGGCTTGGAACTTTTGCTGCAGTGCTTCGTCTTGGTCTTGATATTGGTTTACTGATCGCCCTGGCAATTGCATTCTTCATAATCAGCATCAGGTCACACAGGTACTTGTAACTCTTAGAGCAAAATACTCATTACAGTTGATGTTTTAGAGATAGCTGTACATACAACAATGTGAAAGTAGTTTCGTATTTGTAAACACTTGGACAGATTCCAGAATGACCTGACCAATTACTGTCCCAGGCCAGTAACTTGTTTAGAAATGGAGATCAAGGTTTTGGGAATGTAAGGTTTTTTCCTCTGCTTTATGTGAAAATCTAATAAACATTTTGTTTCAGGATGAAGATGGTGGAGCTGGGACAGATTCCAAACACGAATATTTATAGAAGTTTATCCGTCTGCAGAGCCGTAAGAGGAAACAAAAAACAAATGTTCTCCCTCTCTGTAATCGAGCTTCTTCCCCTAAATGCCTGGGAATGACCATTTGGACTCAGTTCACTTGGTTCAAAACTTTCAAACTGAAGAATGCTTAAATATCTGTAGTGTGAAGTGATCCAGATAGCCTGATAATCTGCTTGTGCCCCATGGTGCTCCCTGTGTCAATCAGTGCTGTCCCAGTGGTGGAAGCCACATTGCTGACATTTCCGGAACTGTTTGGCTTTTTACCTGCTTTTCTCTGTCTGGTTATGTCCACACAACACATTTTCAGTCACCATCTCCAGACTGACTTGCTGATTCTTACAGTGATGGGATGTAAAGTAGGGCATGGGCCTTTGTAATACACTGTTGAGAAGACAGAACCATACTAAATTGGGTAATACAATAGTAAAGATCTTTGTCTTTGCCACATGAGTACATTCCCAAAGCTATGCTGATGGATTTGCAGAAATCAAATGAGGACATGGTTAGAAATACAACAGTGATATACTGTATGTTTTCTGCAGAGCATTATATATAATATAAAACTATATATCTAACTTGGCTTGTTTTATATTATACCAGCTGACTGTCATCAGTGATAGATCTGCTGGAAGTCTTTAAAACAGGAGGAACTGATTGATGTTTCCAGATTAGTACACTATTGGGTCCATGCTGCTAGTGCTCCTACCAGCTGACCAGTGTGGTCAGCAATGTTACTTTGTCTTTAGAATATCACCTTGCAGTCTACTGCATAGAGGGTTAGGTGGGGAAAAATTGTTCCTACGAAGTACAACTCTCACAGATCCAACTTTTGTTTTGAAGGCAATGGAGATTGATGGTGTCAAAATCTTTCAGTGCTGTTCTTCCATTTCTTTTGCAAATATGAATAACTTCAAAAATTACTTGTTACACAAGGTAAATGTCACTTTTTCAGCTCGATAAAGTTTCTAAAAGCTAGTATTACCCCTGTAGTGAAAGTATTTTTGTCTTTCAGATGGATATGAAAACAGTGCCTCTAAGTCCAAATGAAATGAGGGCCTTAGTTTCAGCTAGTCTGTCTGACATTTCAGTGGAAAGCAAAGATTTTAAATGCTCTTGTGTCTGTGATCCACCTTTACCAGCACCTCGGGTAAGCTTTAGAAGTATATTTATCTAATCTGTCTGTTTGAGGTGCCTATTTTTCTGTCACCATGCACAGTGTTCTTAACTTGCTAGAATTTAAAAGGCTATAAATGCTTATATATAGCATATATATATATATATTTACTGACTGAATTAAGCAAATAGCACCATTGTTTTTCTTCATACAGGCTTTATGTAATAGAGCAATAGGAGCTCACCATATTGGGTGAATTAATGAGCAGTAGAAATATTCAACATACCCCCAGTGTGGAAGTGGGGTACCACTGGTACCAGCCAGCAGCTGAAGGCACTCTGCTAACCATACCTGAAGCTTGGCTAAGTCATTTGCTACTCTGCATACTCTTGTGGCTTTCTGCTGTATTTAATGTTACTTCAGATGTATTTTTACCATGAGAGAAGAGAGATCACACAATTTACAGTACTTATTTACTGGAAAAAAAATAATCCACCCCCTGGGCCTACTACTTCTAACCACTGATGTACTCCTCTCCATTTTCCATATTAGATACCATATACAGAGAAACTGGTGAAGTCATGTCATGTAGACAGTAATTCCACGTCATCTTCAGTTAACTTGGTACGTTGGTCAAAGTACGGAGTTAGACAGAGCTGTGGGATGCTCTTGCTGGGAGCAGCTAATGCACAGTCTGCATCTCCAGGCATTAACACACAGCTTCAGCCTGAAAAGAATGAGGATGAAGGGAAACAAGCTGGTGTTTCACCGAGCTCTGCAGTAGGTAATACTTCAGCACAGTTAGATCAGGAAGAACAGCCAGTGCATTTGTCAGGTCCAGTTCACACCATTATTTTGGACTTCAGTATGGTCCAGTTTGTGGATTTGCAAGGTTCAGACTTACTACGACAGGTAAGCAACATCACTGTGTGTAAATGTGAAACCTAAAGTTTACCCAGTGTCATATGTTTCTTGTTAGACCATGGTGCCCTGCTGCATAGCCATCTAGATATGTTTCAGTTGACCCATACAAGTGCACTATTTTCAGAAATTAGCAGCTTCCCATAAGGCCACTTTTTCAAAAAACAAACAAACACCTTGTTATCAACACAAAGGACAAGCTAAAACCTGTCAGCCATTATCTCCAGTCCTAAAATTGTGTAAACTATAAACTATATTTATAAAAAGACCTAATTTGCTCTTTCAGTTTTGGCTACTTCTTTTTTCTTCTAGCTGGACACTTAAAAAAATCCTCTTTTTTAGAAGTGTCAGTTTTACAATTGCCTCCTGTCTTCTCTTAGAATTATTTTATTTGTATTGCTGAATGCCTTTATATCCTTTTCTTTGATGTACGTCTTGAGGTTTTTAGTCTTCAAGCAGGGATCCTAGCCAATAAAGATATATATATGTAGCAAAAATAAATTTCATGTAGTTGTGCTTCTCAGACAGATGCAGATGGATTCTTACTCAACTCCTTCAAAGTCTGTAGCACATCTTCAAAGATTTCTGTTTAATTTACAACCTATTGGGAATAACTGTGGACTGAGTTGGTGTCCTTAAAGATTTATTTGCCATCTATTAAATTACTTCCCTGTTGGAAAAGGAGATAAGTCTTTCCAGATTCCTTCCAGCTTCATATTCTGAAGTTCTGTAATTCTCTGAAATAGTGAGTTTTGCTGCTTTAAAAAAAAAAAAAAAAAAAAAAAAAAGTTGTTTATACATGAGCGTGTCATCAGTGTACGTAGAAATGTTTGGAGTTATGAGTACTGTACTTATGAGAATCTTTTGTTGATTTTGATAGTTTGGCTATTTAGTTCTGAACTAAGAATCTTGGTTTGAGACTCTGGAATAAGGACTTTCTTCAGGGATAAATCATACAAAGGGGTTCTTTTCCCATTTATGTTTGAACTTCTAGAGCATTTGTATAAAGCAAAATTGTTCTAATGCTGATATGGAATTCTTTCCACAGATCTTCCATATGTTTTTCAATATCGGCATTACAGTCCTTATAGCTGGCTGTCACTGTGAGTATAGGATTTGCTTATTAATATTGAGTTATCATTGGAGATAAGTTTTAAACTGCAGTGAAATGTTATAGCCCTACTGCTTGGTATGAATTTTGCTGCTTTGTTTATTTTCTCCCATTTTTTGTAGCCTCTGTGATAGCAGCCTTTGAGAAGAACGAGTTCTTTGATAGCTGTGTCACCAAAAAAATGTTCTTTCTAACTCTTCACGATGCTCTGCTGGCTGCTTTGGCGAGGCATCAAAAGCCGGATGAGAGAGAACTTGCTGCAGAAGAGCATGCTGAAAAGCTACAAGCTGAAGATGAGATGGTAGAGTATTTAGCTTACATGTAAGCATTCCTGTTGTTAAATTATTCTGTCAGTAACTTAAAGGTCTTGTGATGTGATTGAGGAAATAAGACAGAGCAGATGTTCTTCTGAATTTTCCAGTTGTTTGGTTGTTCGCAATGGACAGAGTCCTGTTGTCCCTGCCTGGGGAAAGACAACTTTGCATTCAGACTGGAAAGGAATCAAGCTCTGTCTTGCAGTAGGGAATTGCTGTTGTATTTTAGACAGTTTCCATTTCCTGCATTGGACAAGGACTCTGCCAGAGCAGAGCCGAAGTTCCAAGCTTTTTATTTCCAGAGGTTACTGCACCAGCTTCCTTGGGGCAGGCTGGAGAAGTGAAGGACGGCACTGACTTGATTTCCCAACAAATTGAAGCTTGTGCATGTGATCTTTCTGTCTGTTGTCTTCTGCAATAATTTTTAAGCTCACTAGATGTCTCTGCCAAGTTTGAACAGGGTAGACAGTTGCAAGTTCCAGGAAAAGCTCTTCTGCACAGATTCCATTAATTGCCCCTCCTTGGGAAAGAGCCCAACCTTGGGTAATCATCCTCTGCATGCTGCTGGGCTGAACAAGGGAAGAATGAAGGAAAAAAAAAACTATCAAAATCTGTAGGAAACAGGTGTCTTTTGTTCTGCTTGTTTGCCTCTCTTACCTTAGCACTGTACAGAATGGTCTAACATGAGGATATTGACCTTCCTGATACTCTCTCCCTTCTCAGAATGGAGGTGACAGTTCATATTCACCACCTTCCCTTTAGTGTGTGTGGAGGGCAGACTGTGAGCTGCTTCCATACAGGAGGTGACAGTGGTTCCCCAAGAGAGTGCATTGAAACCACGCTGGGCTGGGTGCAGAAGGGACCCACAGCAGCAGGATGATGTCAGCACTGCCGGCTCATCTCCTTGTCAGCTGGGTATCTGACTTGCCCTGTGCTTCCATGCCAGCGTGCCCCTCTGACTGCTCACATGATATTGTCTTGGCATGGGAACATGACTGGATCAGCAGACTGGCCACCCTTGGCCTACAGTAATGTTTGTGTTCATTTCAGGAAATAAATTTGCTTATGGAGAAGAATGGAGGTTTTTTCTCTACAAGGAAGCCTAACAGCAAACTCCTGCGTGAAGAGCCAATATCAGATAACTCATGCTCAGCCCAGAATGCAGCAGAGTCAAGCTCTCTCCTGCAGTTTGAAACTCTGTCCCTTCAACTGAATTTCCAGGACCCCACATGGGACAAGGAATGGAAGTATAACAACAACATGTGAATTACAACACTACTGGGGAATTGGGATTTCAGTAGAAGGAAGAAAGGTACAGTTAAGCAACAGTTCTGGTCATTCTTATCAGTATTTGATTTTTTTTTTTCTGATTTTAAAATAGACAGCTTGACTAATGCCTACAGTAATTTTGTGGTTCTTATCAAAAAGGAACATCTGGATAATTATTTTCAAGTAGATAGGATACTCTCAGCAATACACAAGAGAATTCCTTGTTTTGGTGAATTCTAGCAAATGATTTGTGCATCTTTTCTGAAATTTTTTAGAAGTTAGTTTCAGTGCTGCAACTGAGCACTTTTTATGTATTTACTGATTGGTAGTAAGTAAAACTCGTCTGCCCTATCTGAATAGATCACATGCAGGCAAATTCATTATCTTCAGCATGTGTAGAGTGATGTGAGCTTCAAAGGAAAGCATTTTCTTTCTTATTGCTGTAAAATTGCTGAAGTTGATATTGTCAGCACTAAGATAACATGAGTATTTTTTCTGTTTAATTTACCAGAACAAAATCCCAGTAAACAAAAATTTTAATTACATTTTCTTTATAGTCTCTTACTGAAATGGTAAAGAACGGAGGAATGTATTTATTCTGTTCTGAAGAGCTAGAAAAGAAATTGTAGACTAAGATATAGATAACGCTTGGGGTAAAAAAATTAGCTTGCTTATATTTTCTGCAGCAGTCTGAGCTAGGGTTGTACTGACAGCAGCGGCGTTTAACTACATCAGCAATGTATGTCACAGAACTCTGCCATGCTCTTATTTGTTCCATGGCACAGACTGCCCATTGTGGAGAGTCACAGGTAAAATTAATGTTAGATGAGTAGACAGCATTTGTCTGTAAAGCTGCAGTTCTCTATGTCTGATCTACAGTGGCAAAGGATTTTGATGAACTGTGCCAAGTTACTTACTGTAGAGGAAACTGAGTGCTGGAGCCCTCATACCATTTGGATTGAAAGATAGGAAAAACTGAAAGCTCAAATGGTATTGAGTAATTTTCAAACCACATATGCTTCCCTGCATTGTTTTGGACAGTGGCTTCATGCCAAGTTCCTCTCAGCTCTGTTCAAAACAGAGTAGTACAAAACCCATGAAAATCATAGTCCTCGTTTCCAGATTCTGTTGACTCTACTATAGCAGCCTTGATTTAAGGTGAAATAGCATTCGTAGCTGTTGGCACCATGGAAAATCTCCACTACAAATCGAAGACCTGAGTTTTTTGTTGGCTTACTGAGCAGAGTTCAGAGTTTTTCCTTCCTACCACATGACTTTCCCCCGGTGTTCCACTCTTCACAACTTGGACGTCAGCATGTTAGTTTTCAAATTATGAGTATTGTTGTTGCAAAACAAATACTTTGCTGAGAGGAAGTTCAGACAAACCTGATCATTTTCCTGTACAGCTGTACAGTGCCTCAGATCCTGCCTGCATACAGAATGCTTCTGTGATTCACCAAGCACAAATCCCTGGACACAGGCGGTGAAGTGACAGAGCACGTACTTTATGGCCAAGGACTCCACCTGTACCTCTAAAGTCAGAGTTCAAAGGCCTGCCTGCAGTAGTGTGTTTGGAGGCAGTTTGATGTTCTCACCTGACCTAGTTGCAACAAATGCAGCTGTTTTGTGCAGACAGCAACTTTTTAATGCCCTTCTGAACTAGTATAAACCCATGACATTTTGCTAGGAGTGCATGCTGCAGAATCCCAGGCAGCTTTTTCACTGTGCTGAATTAGAGGATGCAGATCCCAGAACATCACCACACAAAATGCAAAGTATATGCAGCCTGCCAGTCCTGCCTGTTGGCATTTTATTGACATACTGCTTTGGTACACACACGGCTGCAGAAAACAGAAAGTGGTAGAGAAACCTCAGGAGCTGCACAGAGCGTGGCAGGAGCAGTTGTTAGGCAACAGGCTGCAGTGTGTCACACTGTGGGAGCTATGAGGAAGGACCAGGTAAACTGGTTGTGTACGGGCATAGCTTGGTGGCATTCATTCTGCTTTAAAAATGAGTGCCAGGCTGGCTGTGGGAAGTTGACTGTAGTTAGGCCCAGGGCTGGCTCAGAACCCCTCTGAGGGCCAAATTCATTGAAGTGTGATGTGCAGCATTGGACACAGGAGGTGTGAACGTGCACTGATAGGACCAACTGCAGGAGTCCCAATGCTAATAAGGGACGATAGATCCCACAAAAGGAACAGGCAGCCAATACACTGAACTCGCAGCAGTGTTTGTGGTCTGTTCATACTGTGACTTCTTTGAGGAAAGAACTTTCTTATATGGTTGCTGTTGGATGCGAGCAGTGTGCTCCGTCGTGTTTGAGGTCTCCAGCTCAGTGTTACTTCTAGCACAGCAGTTGTGGAAGGCTGAAATCTGGGACTGAGTGTATCCTTCTCCGTGTCACATTATTGCCGTATTTTGTGCGACCGTATCTCACTTAGAACTCTTTGCAGGGGGAACAAGCAGAGGAATGGCACCTGTCATCCCCAGAGCTCACACAAGGATTTTTCTGCCTTCCAAAATCGCACACAGAGGTACCCACCTTCCCCGGCAAATATTTGTACCTGATGCCCGGGCTGCGCTGTGCGGTGCCTGCCCAGCAGTGAGCTGGACGGGTCGCGCTCCCTCTGCCGGCATCCGGCAGCACCAGAGCCGCGGCTGCGCGGGGCGGCCGTCCTGCCCCGAGCCGGGGGTGTGCGGGGTGCGCGGCAGCTCTGCGGGGACAGCGGGAACCGCGTGATGTTAAACAGTCCTTGACAGAGCTGGCAGAAGTTTTAAGGGAAATGCATCAACGTCTTTATGACCAATACTGGGTCCGTGCTCACAGCAAAAAATTCCCCAACAGCCTTGCAGCCAACACATTGCTTTTTGTGATAATTATTAAACGAGTGCTGGCATTTAATTCTTCTCTGACTCTAATGGCTATTCCAATCCACGTTTCTGATGCCAAAGCTACAAGAGCAGCTCCAAAAGCAACGCCTCCTATTTTATTACGTTGGGCCACGATGCCAGAAGCACATGGTGGTGATATGGCAGGAGAGGTTGAACTTCCCTGCAGTGTTCCGTCACCTTTTGCTGTCGTGCACGAGGTAGCAGCAGAGGGCAGAATGTTGTGTGTGATGTGGACGTGCAGATGGAGCGAGGATGCGTCACTGAATTCCTCCATGCGGAAAACGTGGCACCGGCTGACATTCATCGGTGCCAAAAACGCTCAGCTAATGGTAATGACTGTATGAGAAACAGCGCTTTGCGGGTGAGAATTTGCTCCATCAAACAGTGTTACGGTGCTCTCCGCGTGTCGGAGCGTCCGTGGAAATGAATAGGAGGCGTTACTTTCGGAGCCGGCGTTGTTGCTCTGCGCCTGTCGGCTGCTGACGTCACAACTGCGACGGTGGCGTCACACGCGCAGCGTCCCCCTTCCGCCGCCCCGCGCCATGCTGCTGGCGGAAGCGCGCCCGGAGCCCTCGGAGCTCCGCCCCGCGGCGGGCGGGCGGGGGCGGTGCCAGCAGCGAGGGGGCGCGGCTTCCCCTCACAGCTCCGCCTCGAGCGGGAGCGGCGAGGAGGACGAGGAGGAAACGGGCGGGGCCGGCGGGCGGCGCGCGCAGCCTCTCGCACCGCGCATGCTCCGCCCGGCGCGGCCCGGCGCGGCGCAGGGGCACGACGCAGCGCGCAGGCGCGTGGGGCTCCCTGGGCTCCCGGCGCTGGCGGCCATGGAGCGGAAAGGTGAGCGGCGCGCGGCCCTCGCGGTCCCTCGGACGGCGGCCCCGCGCTCCCCTCACGCTCTTTCTGTCTCTTTCCTCTCAGTGCTGGCGCTGCAGGCCCGGAAGAAGCGGACCAAAGCCAAGAAGGATAAGGCCCAGAGAAAGTGAGTGCGGCCCCGCTCCCCCTCCTCCCCCGCCGGGAAGGGCCGCTCGGGGCGCCGGGCCGCTGCTCGCGGGGCCGAGGCGCGGCGGGGGGCGGGGAACGGGGCCGCTTTGTCCCGGTAACGGAGCCCCGCAGCCCCTCCCGCCGCTCCCTGAGGTATCGCCCTCCCCTCACGCCCCTTTCTTCCTCCTATTAAAATCCTCCTCGTAGGGCGCTCTGACGGCGCGGTTTCTCGCTGTCTGACTTTGATGCTCCCCTGTGGCCGCCCTCGGGCCGCAGGAACGTTACAGGGCCTCACATGTGGTGAGGTTCAGCGTGCCGATAGAGAAATTAAAGGATCTCGAATGGATGCTGAACAATGGCTGGCTGCGGGGCTCGTTGTGCGCTGCGTGGCCGTGTGAGCGCTTTGCTGTCTGTGGGGTGAGATCACAGAACTGCGGTGTGGTTGGGTGGGAAGGGACCTGAAAGATCACAGAACCATGGAGTGGTTAGTTGGCTTGGAAATAACCTTAAAGGTCACAGACCCGTAGAGTAGTTGGCTTGGAAAAGACCTTACAGCCCCTCTAGCCCCTGCCCTGCCGTGGGCTGGGTGCCCCCCCAGTTCAGGCTGCCCAGGACTCATCCATGGCCTTGAGCACCTGCAGGGATGGGGCACCCGCAGCTCTGGGCAGCACGGGTGAGCCGGCACCTCACCACTCTGGGTGAAGGATTTCCCCCTAACGGCTAATGTAAATCTGCCCTTGTCCGATCACCTTGTAATGGTTCCTATATAAAAGCTTTGGTGGTGCAGGGGGTTCTGGATATCTTTCTTTACAGCACGTTCTTAGTCACTTCCTCTGACAAACTGTGCTGTCTTAGAGCTTTTCTGTTGGTTTCTGTCTCCAGCAGACAGGGCTCCGGAGAGGTGAAGGGCTGAACTCAGCTCTTTGGGAGATGTGCATTATATTTCCACATAGCTTTGTAGATGTGCCACGTGTCTTTTAAAGGTACTATCAGGATAATTTTTTCAGAGCTCTGCTATAGTGCTGTGTCCTCATTTCTGAGTGAATAACACTTGTTTTGTTCTGGGCTTACCTACTTTTTTTTTCTCTTGTCCAGCTGCAAACATGCAGTGCTGACCACCACCAGTGCTTGCTAGTGGTTGAAAAGGCTGTTTTCTACATAGTCTGGATATTGTTGAACAGACTGACATATTTTTATTTATTTTTAAATGCACTTCATAACCACACAGTGACTAGCTACTTTCCAGCACTGCTGACTGATATTGCCACTAACCTTGATTGGAGTGGAGAACTGTGCTATTTGGAAAATGCTGTGCTTATTTTCTTACACTTTTGCTTCAGTGCTTTTTCAAGCAGCATGTTCAGTGGTTTCTACCTCTGAAGTTAAAGAAACTGGCATATACTTTGTGCTTTACGTGGTGCAATAAAAACTCAACCTCCAACTTTGAGGCACAACTCCTCAACAGTTATGCTATTGAAATACAAAGCTGCTGTACTTAAGTCTTCTAAAATAAGCTTAGCCCGGTTGTTGTAAGGCTCCTTCCATAAAATCTAGGCTTGAAGCCACAAGGAATGTCTTTTTAACATCTTATGTTCAGTGGTATTTGACTTGATTACTTACAGGTTTTTCTGTTTGAAGTTAGTAAGAAAGTTTAGCACACCTGATTTTTGTCAGGGTAA